TTCACTTTTATCTGTTGCTAATTCTACATTTAAAGATTGTCTGTGTAAACCTGAACAGGTCACCTGCTTGTGCATAATCAAATAAGTCTCTAGGCGTTTTCTGAGCTGAAGAGGATGTGAGATTCTGGACTGTTCCTCAGACAGGCTCATGGATGTGTCGCAGTGTTGGAGACAGGAACAAGCGCTATTCAGCCAAAGATTCATAATCAGGGAACTTTTTTTTTTTAAGTGACAAGTCTCTGAGAGACCGGGTTTAGAAAACACAGAATCTTCCTGCATGGTTCTGGTTCTGCGACGCACTCCAACACATCTTCAGCTTGCTGTCCACCATACGCATGCGCTGACAGCGAGCTGCGCTGAGCTCAGTGTCCATCTCAGATGTTCTGATGGGAATTTTTTCCTGATTGATATAGCTCCCTCCACGATGTGCATGACCATTAGAACGTCAGCACATCTGCAGGCTTGTTTTCTTTACTGTGGGAAACGGGTATTTATGGCTCTTTGATGGGAAAAGGTTGCCGACCCCTGTCTTAGAGGATGATTAAGACCCTTGACATTCCAGCTGAGAATATTCAGTGGATTACTCATTGAGGTTGATTGTGGAATAAAGCACTGAACATATAGCCTCAAATATAGCCTCAGATTCTCAAATAAACGTGTCAGATATTCACCAAATGACAAGAAAAAAGGCCAGAACACAAAAATTTAAATAAATTAATAAAGGCAAATTTAAGCTGATTCCTCTGTTATGAAGCGTGGCCAGCAGCTCCCTGTACTCTTTTCTCTGATTTGAGACCTCTGGTCTGTAATCCTCCACCATGCGGATCTGTTGACCGCGGTAATTGAGCGTCCCTCTCCGCCGTGCCTCCCTGATGAGCAGGTCCTTAATGCGGTAGCGGGACAGCCGAATGATGATCGGCTGAGGTCTCTGACCCGGCTTTGGTTTTGCGGCCAAAGATCGGTGGACCCTGTCGAGCTCCGGTGGGGTTGGAATTAGTTCCTTGCCAAAGATTTCACACAGGGCACCCGCGAGGAACTCTGTTATACGGCCACCTTCTGTAGATTCTGCCAGTCCGAGGATGCGCAGATTGTTCCGTCTGCTACGGTTCTCCAGGTCATCCACTTTAGCCGATGGCTTAGCATTGCTATCCCGCAGAGTGTAACAAAGCTTCTCCACCTCCTCGACGCGCTGGCTCAGGTCGTCAGCTGCCATTTCAAGTGAACTCAGACGCTGACCATGATCCTCAGCCGTCTCACTTGTTCATCGCACTTGTTCAAATTTAGCCTCCGTAGCGCTGAAGGAAGATTGGAATTAAGCAGCTAGCGAGTCACAATGCTGTCCAAGTAGTTTGGAGATGGCGTGGAGCGTGAGGACGGGAGATTAGTCGTTGTTTTTGTAGCATTTATCACCCCTGGAGCTCATTTTAGCTTTAGCGCAGTTTGGCAGTAATGAAGATACATTTCTGTGTCTGGTGTGTGATGGCTAATGAGACTTGAGACAACGGTGGCACAGGAGTTAAGTGCTCGCCCCATATTCAGAAGGTTGCAGGTTCGAGACCCGCTCAGGCTGTTGCTGTCATTGTGTCCTTGGGCAAGACACTTAACCCCCCTTGCCTGTTGCTGGTGGTCGAAGGGAGCGGTGGCGCCAGTGCTCGGTGTGTGCCAGTGCTAGCTGTGGCTACATCGTAGCTCATCCCCACCAGCGTGTGAATGTGTGTGTGAGTGGGTTAATGACTGAATGTGTTGTAAAACGACTTGGATGGGTTCCAGAACACAAATACAGGCTATTTACCATTTACTTAAACTTCAACTAAAATGTAATGTGTTTCATTAACATGTTCAGTAGTACTGGAAATGCTAATAACATTTCATTTCTACTGGTAACAATGCAATGGTGGCCTATCTATAATGTAAGAATTGGCAATAATCCAGTTTAAGTTACGTAAAGATAGAAGCGTTTGTGATTTACATGTATCACAATGGCTTGCCATAGAGGCAGTGATATGAAGCAGCAACAACGTGACTCCAGGTTGCTGCTGCATCTCTGCTCCACAACGCTAAAGACTGCAGACATCTAAAAATAAACATGATGGCGGGGATTTTTCTTTTGCTTGTACAGTTTAGTTATTCTAAGTAGATATGCACAGTAATTGGAAAACCTGTGATGCACAATAAAAGTGATTGGCGATGACAATGTGACTAGCAACAAACAACAAAAGCAAAGAAATTAAAAAATGACTAACAAAATATCATAAAAAATGGGAAAAGCAAAAATTGTGATCAAAAGATGTCCGCAAAGGAAACAAGAAAATGAACTAGAAAAGGCAATCAGAAGATCCCTGGGAAAGCATAATCAGCAGAAAGAGCAGAGCTAAGGTGTTTACTAGACATCCATCCATCCATTTTCTTCCGCTTATCCGGAGTCGGGTCGCGGAGGCATCAGCATAAGTCGAGAGGCCCTGGCTTACCCCTCCCCAGCCACTTGGGCCAGCTCTTCCGGGGGAATCCCAAGGCGTTCCCTGGTCAGGTGAGAGACATTGTCCTTCCACCGAGTCCTGGATCTATCTTTAGGTCTCCTCCCGGTTAGACATGCCCAGAAAACCTCACCAGGGAGGCGTCCTAATCAGATGTCCAAGCCACCTCAACTGGCTCCTCTCAATGTGGAGGAGCAGCGTATCTACTCCAAGCCCCTCCGGGATGACAGATCTTTGGGTAGGGCCTCATCCCTGACCTGGAGAAGGCATTCTACCCTTTTCTGACCCAAGACCACGGTCTCTTGATTTAGAGGAGCCAATTCTCATCCCAGCTGATCCCGTTCAGATGAAGCCAACAGGACCACATCATTTGCAAAAAGCAGAGACCTGATCCTCAGGCCACCAAAACGGAATCCCTCAACGCCTTGGCTGCGCCTAGAAATCCTGTCCATAAAAGTTATGAACAAAGTCGATGTCCAGTGGAACTGCCCCCGATGTCCATGCGATACTGCAGAGCCATGTAAGCCAACACAGCCCTATGACATCCAAATTAGTTGCTGTCCGCCTAGGGGGCGGGCATCTAACCTATAAGAACTATCCCCATTGGCCAAATGGGTGAAGGGCTCTATTTGATTTGTCAAAAACTTCATGTTTACATATGTGTAGCAAACATTTGAGCTGACCATTCGTTTTTTTCCTCCTGTTCTTTGCAGTATGCATATTGCGCATGCTGATATTGCAGTGATGACACATTTGCAGTGTATTGCGCAGCCCTAATTCTTAGTTTCACGATGATCTTTTTTTTTCCTCCGCGGCATTTAGATTACCACAAGGTGTGCCAGTGAACTTTGTTCAGACTGTGGTGCGCACATGTAACAAAAGCTTCGAAACAGTAGAATTGATTAGAGGAATTTAATTAAATGAACCATTTGAGGATTCGTTTCAGCTCTAGTTAGAAGTACCGCTCCAGTTTTCCAGCCTCAAAATTCAAGGACAATCCAATCTGTTAAGGGCATGCATAAACCGTATAGGGAGCCTAAGTCTCCTCCTTTTCCGGTAGGCTCATGGGTCCCTGAACGGGATTAAAAGAGCTATTTTCTAGTTCGCTGTGCTTTACACCCTGAAGCGCACATATGTTGTACTTCAGTTTAAATGAAAAGTTATGAAGTGTGTTGCAACCGTGCCTGTCACGTTTTTGAGATTCCTCAGCTTGTAGAAGTTCATAATCGGCATGCTACAAATCAGACGTCTGTACGATGGTATGATGTCACCACATAATCTCCTCTCCCCTAGCGTAGCTGCTACTTACCACATGGCCAGATTTATGGTGGTTCTTTCCTCCTGAGGGAAGGGTTTGCAGTTCGCTGAACTTACCGCCATTTTACCTCTGCTCTTCTCCGTTTCTGCTTTGATGATGTCAGATTGGCGATGCACCTTTTTTGTCCTGGACATATCTTCACACAAAACCTAAGATAACATTTGCCCCCTTTTGAAAATAAGGGTTAGCATTAGAATGTGTCTTTGAATTTCACAGACATCATCAAACAGCTAATAATGGTCTGGGGGAAAAAGTAACTTGTCGCACGAGTGCTAAGAGTGCTTTTCATTGCACTTTCGACAAATTCGTCACATTGTACAGCCCTGAATATTGACGGAGAAGTTTTTCTTTAGTACTTTTTTGTTCTTCTGGCCAGGATAGCAGAGGGCTTAGTGCTTTTCTGGGGTATCCTGCTATCATTGCCGTCACGTCTCAAGTGTATCTACATTGTTTTTATGTATTACAGAGACTTTTACCATGGACACATGCAGTCACCATCCAAGCCCACGTTTCTCATATTTTTGGATGCAAATAAAGAGTTAGCTGCATGTCTTTGTACTCCTTCAGTCACGGTGTTGTAAAAAGTTATGTTGTTGGACTTTTCCCCGCGAGACGTTCTCCAATCTGCTCCGTGTCTGTTGCTTGACAACTTTGGCTCACGTTTTGTTTATTGTGGCGGGGATGGCGGTGCTGTTGGTGAAGTGGTAGGTAGCAGCATCCTGACCAGTCACAGGCCTGCAGTCTGTCACTTTCAACGGATAATTAGAAAAGTGGGCTCCACTCCGTCTTTCTTGGCGAGCCTTTTGGAGGGCCCTTGCAACCTTGAAAAATGGTGTTGCATGTCTGCAGCAACACAGAAAGGAAGTATAGACTAGTATGTAGGGTCTGAGCTGGAGATGATGATTAGAGCCGGTAAACCCACTTCCTCCTCTAGCTCCTCCTTCCACTCTTCCTGTGCTGACTCCTCCACTCACTCACTCTTATTCCTCCCACTTTCTTGACTTCTACATTTTTGTCTTCTTTAGTCCTCTATTCCTCCACTCAGTCCTTTAACTCTTCCTGTTTCCTCTTCAGACTTATCCGCTTTTAAAACTTCCCAGCGATGCGTTACCTGAATGTCTTTGTTTTGCCTGTCTACCTGTTTGCATTAACAGCCTGTCGTTTCATTGCCAAACTGTCATTGCATCACTCGTCTGTTGTGATTCCAGCGTGGCCTCAGGACGAGTATATTGTGGAATACTCTCTGGAATATGGGTTCCTTCGCCTGTCACAGACCACTCGTCAAAGACTCAACATTCCTGTCATGGTGGTCACCCTGGGTCAGTCTGATTTGTCATTTTGCTGATTGATGGTTTCAAATGTCACATGAGCCGATCACATGACCTCATTGCCCCTGTGTTTTTTTAGATCCCATGAAGGACGATTGTTTCGGAGATGGCTTTAGTCGATTCCTGCTGGATGAGTTTCTGGGCTATGATGACATCCTGATGTCCAGTGTTAAGGCACTTGCTGAGAACGAGGAGAACAAAGGTACAGTGGCTCCGCCCAACACGGAAATGATGAGGGGTGTTACCAGCTGAGAAATGAAACTTTGACAGAAACTACTATATACAGTGGGGCAAAAAAGTATTTAGTCAGCCACCGATTGTGCAAGTTCTCCCACTTAAAATGATGACAGAGGTCAGTAATTTACATCATAGGTACTCTTCAACTGTGAGAGACAGAATGTGAAAAAAAATCCATGAATTCACATGGCAGGATTTTTAAAGAATTAATTTGTAAACCAGGGTGGAAAATAAGTATTTGGTCAATAACAAAAATTCAACTCAATACTTTGTAACATAACCTTTGTTGGCAATAACAGAGGTCAAACGATTACTATAGGTCTTTACCAGGTTTGCACACACAGCAGCTGGTATTTTGGCCCATTCCTCCATGCAGATCTTCTCGAGAGCAGTGATGTTTTGGGGCTGTCGCCGAGCAACACGGACTTTCAACTCCCTCCACAGATTTTCTATGGGGTTGAGGTCTGGAGACTGGCTAGACCACTCCAGGACTTTCAAATGCTTCTTACGGAGCCACTCCTTTGTTGCCCGGGCGGTGTGTTTGGGATCATTGTCGTGTTGGAAGACCCAGCCACGTTTCATCTTCAAAGCTCTCACTGATGGAAGGAGGTTTTGGCTCAGAATCTCACGATACACGGCCCCATTCATTCTGTCCTTAACACGGATCAGTCGTCCTGTCCCCTTAGCAGAAAAACAGCCCCAAAGCAGAGAGGGTGCTCGCTGCAGACCTACAAAGGCAGAGCTGCACCATAAGGTGGAGCTGCACCAGAGTCAGCCCCGCCCATTCACGCAAACTCAGCCTAGCCCACTGACTTCCGTTTTTGTTTTTCCAACTTTATCGCAAACTAACCTGACCCACATGAATTACGGCTGTTACTAGTTTACAGTCGTTAATGCTATGTTCTATGCTTCAATTAAACAAGATAAACATAACTTGCTACATGACAAAGTCTGAATATATCTCGAAATGAAAAGGTTTCTTCTGATGAATATCTACCCACAGCCTCTCCAAGAAAACTGGTGTACAACAGCATATTTGATTAATGTATGTGTTTTGGTAGTCCAGTGGCGAGATCGTCTAAATGAAGTTTTGCTTTCCCCTCAGCTGATGCTGGTTCGATTCTCGGTGAGGTCGGCAACAATCTATTTAGCCAGCTGAAACATTTAATTTGTTAATATTTTAGTTGTAATGTTTATTTTCAGCAAAATTTTTATGTCTCTAAAAGTTCTTTGAATTTGGTCGTTCCTAAACAGTATTTTAGTTGAAACTCTGCTCACAAATGGACTCACACTGGCTAAATAAACAAATAAATAAATAAACACATTAGTCATTATATGTTAAACGGTATACCAGTAAATTGTTGTAAACATAGTACTGGCAAGTGTAGCTAGAAATGAAGAAAAGGGATTTTAAACAACGTTATATTTCCGCTACCGGGAGGCGAACCCATGCAGTCTTGCATGCCAACCTAACTCCATAACCACTACACCACCACATCTGAGAAAACGCATGTGGCGTTATATGTAATTGTGCTATCCAGTGTGTCTTTGTAGATGTATGGTTTTTCTGCCGGTGTCTCAGTAGAAGTCATTTCAGAAATAATTTGTCAGAAAATTGACAGAATATCCAGATTTGAGAACCAAGACGAGACCCGCTTCGGGGGAGGAGACCAAATTGAAGCTGAGATGGGAGGACAATGCATGAATGAGGCCAAAAATGGCTTTGGCGTGTTTCTTATGAGGAAATGACAATATAACATGATAAAAAGTTCCAAAAGTTAGATTTTTAATTATATGGAACCTTTACAAAAACTGTTCAATTAACTTCTCAACTCCGTCCTCAATTTTTTAGCTATAACGCCCTCTTTGGTTCCAGAATGCTATCAAGTCTGACAACTAGAAGGAATTGGACTGACTCTTATGGAATGGGCGGGGCTGATTCTGGAATGGGCGGGGCTGACTCTGGTGCAGCTCCACCTTCTGGTGCAGCTCCGCCTTTGTGGTTCTGCAGCGAGCACCACTTGCCAAAGCATGATGTTCCCACCCCCATGCTTCACAGTAGGTATGGTGTTCTTGGGATGCAACTCAGTATTCTTCTTCCTCCAAACACGACGAGTTGAGTTTATACCAAAAAGTTCTACTTTGGTTTCATCTGACCACATGACATTCTCCCAATCCTCTGCTGTATCATCCATGTGCTCTCTGGCAAACTTCAGACGGGCCTGGACATGCACTGGCTTCAGCAGCGGAACACGTCTGGCACTGCAGGATTTGATTCCCTGCCGTTGTAGTGTGTTACTGATGGTGACCTTTTTACTGTGGTCCCAGCTCTCTGCAGGTCATTCACCAGGTCCCCCCGTGTGGTTCTGGGATTCTTGCTCACCGTTCTCATGATCATTTTGACCCCACGGGATGAGATCTTGCGGGGAGCCCCAGATCGAGGGAGATTATCAGTGGTCTTGTATGTCTTCCATTTTCTGATAATTGCTCCCACAGTTGATTTTTTCACACCAAGCTGCCTGCCTATTGTAGATTCACGCTTCCCAGTCTGGTGCAGGTCTACAATTCTTTTCCTGGTGTCCTTCGAAAGCTCTTTGGTCTTATATATATTATATTATATATATAAGACCATATATATGTGTATATATATATATATATATATATATATATATATATATATATATATATATATATATATATAGGGTTCAGGTTAGGATATATGGATATATATAATCCTGAACCAGAAGACTAAACACAGAGATCTCAGCGGACTGAACTGCTTCAGGGTCTACCGAGGAAAAACATAAATAAAATTTCTGTTCTTTCTGGGCTGCTTAAAACTGTAATCCATGCTTTTATTGCAACTCGTCTGGATTACTGTAGCTCTTTGTATTTTGGTATCAGCCGGTCCTCACGTCTTGACTTCAGCGTGTGCAAATTGCTGCTGCTCGACTTTTAACTTGTACAGGGAGGAGTGAACACATCACTCCTGTTCTATCTCCACTGCACTGGCTTTCTGTCCATTTTAGGGTTCATTTTAAACTTCTTTTATTCGTTTTTAAGTCTTTAAACGGTCTCGCCCCGCCCTACCTCTCTGAGCTATTGCACATTCACTCCTCCTCTCGGTCGCTCAGGTCTTCTGACCAGTTGCTCCTGGTCGTTCCAAGGACACAGCGTGAGCTCAGAGGGGATAGGACCTTCGCTGTTGCTGCTCCCAGACTATGGAACTGTTTTCCGGCACATCAGGAACGCCTCCTCACTGGAAACTTTAAACAATCTTTAAAGACCCACCTTTGTAGCTTGGCTTTTGACACCATATGAAGTTTTGGATTTCTATTTGATTTGAGTGTTTAATTTAGCGTGCCTTTAACTTTATACTGTATTCTACTTTATTCTGTTTTATGCTTTTATGTTTTTATGTTCAGCACTTGGTCAGCGAGGGCCGTTTTTAAAGTGCTTTATAAATGAAGTTGGCTTGGCGTAAAGCTGCTTAAAACATTTCTTGTTCTTATCACTTATTCTTAAAGAAGCTGTATTTAAAGGCCCTGTCCTTATTGTGGAAAACAAATAGCTTAAACGTTTTTGTGCCTATTAACAACGTTCTAACATCGTAGAATTATAAATATCTTGTGGAGATAAAAAAATAAAAGAAAAAAATTAATGAACTGGTTATCTGGCATTGGTCTAAAAACCTGCCAGTAGTTTTAAGTTGTGGGCCAAAAACACCAACATGTCCACATTCTTGGGTAAGAGACAGCTCCTCCACTTATTAACAATAAACCTGCTTTGGAGAATATGTGCTCTGCAGGAGTGGAGGTTGCAGGGGTGCAGAGCAGGCGTTTGGCTGCCCGAGCAAGTCATGGATATCTTTCCTCGTTATTTTTCCACCCCGCAACAGTGTCCACTTTACTTCTGTCCTGAAGATAATCTTTCATTTCATCACAAGAGGATCTTTACGCGCTCGGCACAGCAAGGTCATCCTCTGCACCGTGTCCATAAAGAAGCATCCTGTTTCCGTCTCTTTTGCTGTTTTCAGCTTTTTGCCAGCGGGTCCTCGTCTTCACCGGTCTGCTCTGTGCCGTCTCCTGAGAGGCTTCAGAGTAGGCCCCATCCCGTTTCTCGTCATAAAGAAAAGCTGTTTGAAGTGCGGGTCCACTACTGCAGTTAAAATGGACAGGCTGCTTGTCATCACAACTTGGTCTTTGTCTATTTCCTGCACAAGTTTGTGTCATCTTCTTCCTTTTTGGACTATCGTTATCTGTGACCACTAGAAGGCATTTTTTTTATTCTCAAGCATTGGGAAGGTCGCAGACAGGGATGTGTTCGTCTCCTCCGACAACAGCTCGGTCCGTGTAATTAAGAACGTCTGTGATGTCTTCAGCCACATTCCACTGCTCTGTTGTCTTGTCCAAAGTGCTGCTGTCATTCCTCCCGGTGTAGTTGGGGTCCGATAAAACGGCGGTGATGGGCCAGCGCTGTTCCAACGGTCGCTCCAACATAAAGCGGCGGAGTTCCACCGGGTGGCCCCATCCTGGATGAGTTTGTGCTCAGGAGCTTTTTACTGCACCTGTTTCTCTTTGAGACCCGTTTTTGCTTTGTGTCCTTGTTTGAAGTGCCCAACAAGACGACGTGCCACAGCCACC